ACATCAATAAAAAGGTCTGCAGAATCCCCCTGTTTTAAGTAGAGCTCTCTTGAATGTGTCGATGAATCTCTTTGTCTGTCCATTAGACTGGGGATGCTATGGAGGCGAACGGAGATGTTCCATCCCGTACATCGCACAAAAATAGGCGAATTGTACGGTGAACTGAGGCCCGTTATCAGACACAACTGTTTCCGGGAATCCAAAGCGGCTGAAAACTTCTCTGAAGGCGACTATAGTGGTTGATGAGGTTGTTCGACATTTGTAAGCTTTCAGGCCACTTACTGTGTGCATCAACGACAAGTAAGAGGTTATGTCCCTTGCTTGGTCCTGCATAATTAAGGTGCACTCTTGACCATGGTTTTGTGGGCGTTAGCCAGGAATACGGTTCACACTTTTGGGGTGATTTCGCCGCCTGCGAACGTTTGTAACACGAGCGGGTTACATCTTCAATTGGTGGATTCATGATTGGTCAATAAATGTAGCTTCGCGACAAAGACCTTCATTTTGCTGGGGACGTGATGTCCGGCGTGAAATTTTTGCAGACTCTGGATTGGATCTCCGCTGTTTTGTTGACCTGTTCCGCAAACAGGGCGCAGTCTTGGATGATGGATACAGAATTCATTCTCTGGGCAAACTGCTTTATCCGTGCGTCCGGAATTTTTCCTGGCCACTGAATGGTGGAACTTGCTCACTTATGATAGCAACGGGTCACGTAAGGTTGCTTGTCGCGAATCAGACTGAAAGATATTGCTAGTCGGCTCGCCGTGTCTACAAGCACCTGATTAACTTCCATTTCCAATGAGACGTTGTTGAAAACGGTCTCTTCTGACTGATACTGTTCGTACATCAATCATGATAGCGCATACACTTGACAAATGTCATTTGTCGATCGGTACTTAGTAGTGAGATCATAACCGCGCGACATTTTAGCCCATCTTTACAGACGACTGGGCTTGTACACTTGAACCCCTTTCTCGGACCCGAATATGGCAAGGAGAGATTTGTGGTCCGTTGTTTGAGTGAGTTGACGACCATATAACATCTTTTGAAAATGTTTTACCGCAAACACGATGGCTAGAGCCTCTCTTTCGATTTGACTGTAGTGTGTTTTTGCTGGGGTCAGCGAACCAGCGGCATGAGCGACTGGTTTCTCGGCTCCGTCAGGGAAAAGATGTGAGATGACTGCGCCGACTCCATAGCTTGAAGCATATGAAGCCACAGCCATTGCCAACTTCAGAGCATAATGCGTGGGTATCAGCTCGGAGCTCAGCATCGAATTGTTCTTGTCGAACACTTCTTGACATCTGGGCGTTCATTCCTATGGGGTATCCTTCCTCAACATTTGGTTTAACGGCCCGCGTAAATCATGCATGGAGGGTATGTAGGCACTGTGGTAACTCACCATGCCAATGAATGACCTTAGGGTCGCTACATCATTTGGTGGCGGCATGCATTTTATCGCTTGGATGCTCGACAGGTCCAATCATCGCCTATTCACGTCGATGATAAACCCAAGATATTTAAGGGACTTCATGAAAAACACACTTGTCCATTTTCAAACGAAATCCGTATTCGCTTATTGTATTCAGTACATGCTCCGTCCGTTGACGTAGTTCTCCTTGATTAGACGCCATAATGATGATATCGTTCAGAGATGCTGCTGCGTATGATATCCCTTGAAGCACTGTATCCCTGATCTGCTGGAAGATAGCCGGGGCCGATTTAAAACCGAATGGTAGGCGCGTGTACTGAACTAGTCCACTGTGCGTGTTTATCGTCAGCATCTTTTGGGATTCCTCCGACATTTCAACCTGGGGGTATGCGTCAGACAAGTCTAGTTTAGTAAAGCACTTGTCCCCGTTCAAGCGTGCAAAAACATCTTCAGGAAATGGCAGGGGTCTTAGTGATTTTTGAACACCGCATTTAAGCCAGTAGAATAGTCTGCACAGAGCCGAATCTTGCCATTCAGTTTCTTAACAATTACAATTGGTGCCGCCCATGAGTAATTGACCGGCTTAATGATTCTGTCGGATTGTATCCTCTCAAGTTTTTGGTCCACAATTGACACAACTGCGTATGGGACTGACCGCTTCGGTCGAAAACTGGCTTTGCACCCGTAATCTATCCTAATCTATCCTTGAACACCTGCGGATACTTGTTTGCAGTGTTTCCTTCCACTTCACAGCCGGACTGTGTAGTTTGTTACGTACAGAGTTCAAGGGAACATCCATTAACATCAGCTTTTCAATCCTGTCGAGGCCAAGTAAACTGAGATTGGGTTGTTCTGTCATGTAACACGTGCTTTCAAGATGTGACTTTGTAGGACACAGAACAGGTACTCTCACCAACTAGTTTCAACGCTCCTCTCCCCGATTTTCTTCCAAGTTTCCTCTGACATGGCCGTGATATCCGAAGCAGTATCAACTTGGAGACGCTCAGGAACTCGATTAACGTACATTGTGACAAACCTACGTTTTACGGTCCAATCATCGAAAGTAGCAGTCAGGATAAAACTGGGACTTATATTTAGTGAAGGTTATTGATACAGACTTTCTAGGTTTCTTGGCGGTTACATGATTCTTGATAGAGCGACAGTGTTCTTCTTTATGACCAAGCTTGTTGCATTTTTGACAACGATGTCTTTTGCACGGACAGAATCTGACATAATGCCATTCCCCACATTACTAGTATACGGATGGTAGCTTCCTTGGCTTCATCAAGCTCGGACCTTGCTTTCAATTTTCATGCTGGTTTGACCGCCAGCACATCTGCGGGACCTGGTCTGGGACCTTCGGCAATCTGGTATCGTGTTTTAAATTTATCAGTCTTTGGCACTCGGAAGTGATGGACATAAGGTTGATGGTCGGATCCTGCTCGATCTTGTTAAGCAGTCTCATACGTATTTCGACATCCTCGGGTGCTTGAAGACCGCAAACAAAAATCAGTACCTTAAACTGGTCGTCCGTCATCTCCCCAACTTTGAAGCGCTAACAGTGATGATTGACATGGCTAGCATAAGTAACGTAATTGTCCGTCGCAGACTTAACAAGCTTCATACAGTTATACCGGACACTAAATTGAGAAGGCTGCTCACCAGTATGTCTTAACAAAGGTAAAGTTGATCGAAAGTGTAATCTTTGGGGCACTTTGGAAAAATGAACTTAAGAAACCTGTCGTGCTCCTTCACCCCCAACTTCCACAGAAGCAGTCTCCATTTCCATTCGTCATCAGCATCAGACCGAAAAATATCTTCGTATCTCCTGAACCAAGACTCAAGGGTAACGCCGGCACATGGGTCATATCGAAATTTGTACATTCTGTTTGACACAGCATCTACTGAAATGGGCTGCTTTTCAGTGCTCGGTTTTGTTTGCTGCACAACCACGCGCCGAAGATCTTCCGTCAACCTTGATTAGCTTTCTTCACATTGCTTTTGCTGATACTTATTGATGCTGATTGCTGATTGAAATCGACATTATTGGATTCTTCAATACAATAAACCTCTGTCGCCAGTTGCTATGACCACCATTTCACTCCATTTGGCTGTGCGAACCGTCGGCCTCTGCGTTGCTATAGTTATGGCTTCACTCCGATTGGCTGTTCGATCCCGGCCCCGGATTGGCTGACAAAAACAACAATGGCGGATTCTCGTACCGTGTATTTGCTGAACGATAAGACAAAATGTGGAGCATGCGACTTACATTTATAAGTATTGGGCGACCTTCTTGAACATTCTTCTTTCCTTTTCCTTTCTTACTTGCCGATAATAGTATCAGAATCTTCCGGAACATTCTTTTCGTTGATAGACGAGACTGTTTGAAGAAACCTTGGCGGAATCTGTTGGTTCTTGGCGAAAACAGGCGTCACCGGTCGATTCGTTAGAAGATGCCTCTCCTAACAATAATAATATTTTTAACTTATCCCAAAGCCAGATCCACTCTAACTGCCATCAGTTCAATCGTGATTCTCTCTATCTATATACCATTCAACCACGCTTTGTTGCTTGCATTTTATCTCCCTGTTACACATCTCATAGAGGAATCAATTCTTACAATGCTTAAAAAATTGTACATTTGATAGACATTGATTGTCATAAAGCTTTTTGCTAATTTCACGATAATATTCTTGCCTGTTTGAACCTTACAGTCAGAGACGACAGAATGTCAACTGTAACCCGGTGACACACGGTAAGAGTTTCATGCAGGCATTTCCCTTCAGAAATTTTAAGAGCAAGGACGAACAACATTTTTAGGGGATAACCTAAATTCAGATTATTTTGTGTCTTCTCATTCAGCCGCTTATTGACAATTCGTGGGAAGAGTAAAGGAATGCATTTGAAAAAGGGTCAACAAGAAAGTCAATAAAACTCTGAGTAAATCAAGGTCATCGCCTGGCTCTTACCAAGGCAAGGCAAGACTAGCCACAAGGTCAACCTGTTTGCAAAGGTTTGGTTTCATTCGTCGGATGGCAGAGGCTTCAGACACGAAATAATCTGAATTCAGCTTATCCTGTAAAAATGCTGTTCGTTCTTGCTCTCTTAAAACGCAGTAAGATTGTTAGCTGGCAGTCTTTTCTGTCGGGGATCGAGAGACAGTCTACTTGTCTCTATCTGGAGAGTTTAAACAAGCATAACACCTGTCGCCAAGTGCACCTTTGTGAGTACTAAGCACCTACGATCTAGTTGCTTTGTATACGGTCTCAGACTGAACGTACCAAATTTCATTCGTACGCAAATTTTGTTCCGCATTGAAACTGCTTGTCGCGTTTCATTGACACAGCAAGTGCTTCCAACAAGCCAGCGGTGTGTTTGGCTGGCTGCCGGACGTTTGCCCATGTTTTACCACTTTGTTACGGTTGACATTCCTGCGTGGCATCATCCACGGTGCACACTAAATTTGCTCCCATATTTAGTTTTTTGCTTATCAGCGTCTCTACAACCAGCTAATGACAAAGTAATTGTACATTCATCGTGATACGCCGTTGTTTTTGTTATGCCTTAGCACCCACACTTTAAAATCGCTGGCGGAAATACCTGAAACTGAGATATCGCCCACCAACGCACTGTACTTCAATTCGAAAGATAAAGAAGACGCGTGCAAACGCTCACAAAGCGATGCCAGCTTCTTCATGAGCCCTAATAACAGAATTTTCAAGTAGGACCATATAACTATCTTGTTCATACTGCCTCTCGACCATCATCTAGGCAATGTGGCAAGATTTCGGAGCACTCTATGGTCTACTGGAATTTGCCAGAAGCTGTGGAAGCTTCCACGGAAGAATCCAAAGGCGACGAAGATATAGGTGCCGATTCAAATGTACCAATTCAGTCTACAGCATGCCTTCCACATGAAACGGAAGAGTTACAAACTATTTCAGGTATGGTATTATTCCGTTCCCTTCTGCTCTTTTTACTACAGGACATCTTGTATCGTTATATTACCCTCTTACCTAATCACTTGGCCTGGGATAACTTCCTACCCTTTTTCTCTCTGTTTCACATGAATAAGCTAAAAACAACAGAACATCGTCTAGACGTTTTTGTTTCTAATGAGTAGTGGGTTTTGGGTATAATTTTAGAGGTTTTTCGTCTCATGCAGCTGCATTGCGACTAAACTAGATCTTGGTGTGCTTCAATTGTCAATTGTTATTAGCGATCAATTAAGATACACTTTACGGCAGTTTTCAAGTGCCTGCGGAGCTACTCATACCAGGCAGGTTAGTGGTTAGGATTTATACACATGACGGCTCAATACTTTCCTCATAGCTTGTGGAGAGATCGATGACCCTTTTGTCTCTTGGCACAGAGCACGATCACCACGAGTTGTCTCTTGCCTAGTGGTTTGCTATCGTTCGTCACAAGCCAGACAGCTTCTGGCCACTAATGTGTAAATTCATCCATATCAACCTGCGGTTAGCTGTGTTGTGGATACATCGTTAGGTATGGTGGAGAACAGATGCATCAACTCCCAGCACCGCACACTCCAAATCGGCATTTGACTGGCTTGTAGCAGGAACCCGTTAAACTTCAGAAGCATTCCTGAAGTACAGCTGCTCATCACTGTCCAACTTGTGTGTTGGGTTATTGAGTCAAAGGGTTCGGATGGAGCTTCCCAAGCAAACTTCCATCTATCCAGTCGCGTTGCGAATCGAACACTTAAACTTTTGTAAGACCTGCACAGGACGAAGGCATCCTGCTACATCTGCGTTTGCCAGAAGTCACTGTAACGTTACTTACAAACTTGGTATCATCGACCAAACTGGATTCATGGTTTGTCGCATTTGCTGTGTGTACACTTTTCTCAGCCGACTTTCGGAAGCTGTTATAATAGAATAAATCCAAGTGAACAGTCGCATACACGACTTTTTCTTTTGAGCTCTGTCGGAAGTACTGATCAAGGGCCCAGGGCGATTTCTAGCCCCCCTCCCCTAATGCAGCCTGGGAACTGTCAAAGATGCATTCTATCAGCAGTTCTCTCCGATTCGATTGACCAGAAGTACAGACGTTGTGGTGGTCAGGGGATAAGATGAGTCCCTAACTCAGTCTCCTGCCCGAACCAGAACATCTCCTGTAAGGCTGTTTCGTGTTCGATGCTTGTCGTACTGAGAACAATCGTTTTCTTCACCCGTGTACTAATTAAGACCACTATTTTAGTTGCACAGATTTCCACCAAAAGCGTCCACCTCCGTTTATGTGTCGGATGTTGTACATTAGACTACCCTGCACTCCAATTACTCACATCTCCAGCAATTTTGGGTGATATACCTCAGTACAAGATTGTCGTTCCATCTGTCGCTTTGTCTGGTTTCTAACAAGGCCGTCGTGCGTTCTCATGTAACGCTCATTTTTCCAGTTTCATAAGATTGCTCATTTCGTAGTTGCTACCTCTAGCTATGTTCGCAATCGTCGAAGCAGGTATATCAGTCTGAATTGCAGCGTGAGCTGCCACTAATGAACGAAGTGCATGAAACACGAACATGAGTGGCTTCCAATGCATAAACATTCGCCTTCGTTTGTCATCCCATGCCGAAGTCTCTAATAATAAAGCTTCGAAGCATAAAATAGTCTGTTGTTTTATTCTATCTCGGCTATTTATATTGTATCGCTGCACAATGGCTGAGGTATTTCTTACCTCCAGCCAACGTGTATGACGATGAGGAATCTCCGAGTTGGCCAAATTTATATGTTTATAGAGAAGACTCGTGAGAAGGAGATCACCACCTCCATTAGTCTTAACAGTGTGTTGTTGCGACTTACCCAATGCATGAACCCACTTAAGGCCATGTTGTATCCCGAAAAAGCAGCAGACCAGAGTAGCACCGGAACGTGTGTATAGTGGAAACTGTCCGCACACACGCGCAGTACAATTAAATCGATGGAGGTTCGCATTGCAACCAATCAAATGCAAGACCACATGATAGGCCGACGAGTACTAAATAGTGGTGTGGGTAGGATAAGCGCATCGAGGGCAAAAGCAAAGCAAAGTATTTGAACACGACATTGTCCCCTCCTCTGTTCGTAAAAATATAGGCACTATGTGTCCATGAACGATTTTATTTAATGTCAGCACCCCGAAGAATTGTCATGTGGTGTTATCCGTTAAAGCGTATCGGTTGACAGAGTGGCGTATCCGATCGGAAAGTCGTAAGTTTGTATTAGTTTATAACGAACGCTGTGTTGTAGGTGTGTTCGTCTGTTCAGTAGCATGTTGGGACAGCGCTGTATGCAGCCGTCTTGCATTCACCTTTGTCCCATCAGCCAACTTGTAAGTTCCTGGCGTGCACACAAATTCCACACGGGTCGGCGGTCCGAACCCCGTTACCTCCTTTCCGAAAATTGGGTAGTCTGACAAGTAAAAATGTCTCTGGAGGATACGTTTTCTTAACACGTCTATATTTATCCTGGTAAACAGCCCGTCTTTCGCATTCTCTGTGATCGGCGCTTTCTTCGAATGTAAAGGCTGCATTTAATCGAGTTCGAATTGTTCGTCCCAGCATTAGCTCCGAGGGGGGTTCTTGCCGTTGCAGTATGTAGAGTGATTCTGTATACCTCCAATGCAGATAGCAACGCATCATCCTAGGATTCTCCCGAAAGCCGAAGTACTTGTAGTGATTCTTTCAAAGTGCGATTAAGTTCGATGAGTCCATTCGCTGCAAGATTATAGGCTACAGTCCTCGTGTATCTGATACCATTGCGCCTTAAGAATTCAGCATACTCGTTACTTCGAAACTGTGAGCCGTTATCAGGGAGTATTTCTTCTGGCAAACCGTACCTTGCAAACAAACAACGAAGCCACTTTACGATGACGGCTGTAGTTACGTCCCCTCATAGAATAGCCTCTGGCCATTTTCTATAGAAACATGTAGCCACTACCATGTTTCGCTTCTGCGGAGGTGCATTGGCAAACGGACCCATATTATCGATGGCAATTTTTGCACATGGCTTCATTGTGTATACGATGGGTTGAACTGGAGCATTCAGGAGCCTCGCACTCTTATCGGATTGTTCGCAGGCGTGACATTCCCGAATAACCGCCTCGACGCTGGAATTCAACTTCGCACAATCCCTGGATGACCTACATGGCACATGCAACCACCATAGGAATAAGGGTTGCAGGGACCACAAACTGCTCGCCACTAATAATGCAGTTGCTCACAGTAGAAAGCTCGTTCCTTAGGGTATAGTATGGAAGTAATTCAGCTTGGATCTTGGTACGACTGGGACATGAAGTGGATATTTACTCTCGAAGCTTTGCTAGGACATGGTCTTTGTCATTTTGCTCTCGTATCAGGTCAAATGTTATTGTTGGTGTTCCGTCTGAGAGCTGCGATATCATTTTTACCTCCTCTAAGTCCTCGTTTTTTCCTTCGTTGGACAGTGGGAGTCTCGACAAGGCATCTGCGGGTTGGTTAAAGCTCCTGGCACGTATTTTATTTCATAATCATAGTTCAGTAAACGTGAGTACGGGCGACTCAAGCGTACCGGCTTTTGGTCTTTGTTACCGCGACTTAGTAGCGTTGTAAGAGCAGAATGATCGGTGCGCAAAGTGAATGCATCCACTGATTCACCAGATGCTTGTTTCAACTGCGAAAAATTGTACCCAGCAGTATAAGTGTTCACTCGAACACCCCAGTGTTTATCGAGGGCCGATAAGGCCTCTGTCAACGTAGGTTTCTCCCGCAACTTTAGAGCATCAAATATACGTTGACCCTCTGAGCCGAGGTGCAAGCGCAAATACTTTAAACTATCCTCCGTTTTCAGCCTCACGGATGAATTGAAGACTGCTAGCACCGAAATATAATCTGAAAAATAAATTTTCCAGTCTTCCCAGCATTCTGCATTTGGGGTAACCGCAGAGTCAGTCCTGAATGGTGAAGGGGCAGTAGCATGCAAAGACATCGGTAACACGCGACGCCAATTGGTTGTATCCCGAAAAGGCAGCAGATCAGAGTAGCACCGGAACGTATGTATGGTGGAAACTGTCCGCACACAGGCGCAGTACAATTAAATCGATAGAGACTCGAATTGCAACCAATCAAATGCAAGATCACATAATAGGCCAACGAGTGCTAAATAGATGTGCGAGTAGGATAAGCGAACCGAGGGCAAATACAAAGCAAAGTATTTAAACACGGCAGTCCACTGTGAATGGGGCAATAAGTGAAGAGTATAGACAGTTGACTCGGGTCCAGTCACCTCGGCTAGAACTCTGATCCGATCAGTTCGAAGGGCTATTCAGCCGACTGTCTTACGCTTGTTAGCTGGGTCGCTCGAACCTACCTGGGATGTTGGCGCAACAACCACTAGCCGCGTGATCCGACATGCGTCAGTGTCACTGAAGCGGAACAAGTCTCTTACCTTAGATAACTTTCCGCCATCGCTTTTAGAGGACCGTGGCAATTCACTTGTGCTCACTTTTCTGCTCTGTTCAACAGTATTATGAACATCGATCCTTCAGGGGCATGTGGCTTATTCAGAAATGTTTATTCAGCAAAAATAACGACACGTCTGTCCTGCAGGCTTAATACGGTGGCCTACACCGACATTTGCTGTGCATATGCTGCACTTGGCTCAAACTTATACAGAAGAAGGGGTGTTGCGGTTCTCCAAATATCTAAGGGTCGTCTTTCGACAGCGTAGCATCATTACGAAATGCGGAGGCACTACTAGTGTCCGTGACGACAATAATTCCCGTGCAATAAGGCGTACTAATCGGATACAAGTTCGGTATCGAAAGAGTGCCCCACCCCAGAGAAATCCGAAGCACAACTATTTAACAGTGAACGTATATCCTAAACTCGTTTCTGCGTGCTAGGCACTCAGTCACTTGGCCATGTGAAAGTAAACGTTGTGATTAACCGGTGGATCAAACAGATGA